GGGGGGGGGGCTTATTTATTGCTGTTATGGTACATTGCAAATAGAGGGGTAGCATAATTGTTTTTCACCTGGAGGAGGCAGAAGTGCGTGTGCTTGTCCTGCTTTTAATCTACGATGTATGAAATCAATGCATTTTACAGTTTTGTAGCAGGAAATGAATAAAGGATCTTAATCAAACTGCAGCTTTGGAATGACAATTAAGAATTAAATTANGGGGGGGGGGGCTTATTTATTGCTGTTATGGTACATTGCAAATAGAGGGGTAGCATAATTGTTTTTCACCTGGAGGAGGCAGAAGTGCGTGTGCTTGTCCTGCTTTTAATCTACGATGTATGAAATCAATGCATTTTACAGTTTTGTAGCAGGAAATGAATAAAGGATCTTAATCAAACTGCAGCTTTGGAATGACAATTAAGAATTAAATTAAGAACGTAAAGACAAGAATTCAGACAAATGGAAAGGTATAATCCTTCACTTTGTCAACTGTTTTTTCTTTTTTCTTTTCTAATCTTCTTCGCCAATACTTTTATACACAATATAGCAACCAGTAGGGACAGGAGAAGAAAAGTACAACTGCCATTGTGTTGGTAACACTATCATACTAATCACAATCTTCTAGCTTGTGGGTCCTTTTGCTAGGTGTTCATTTTGTACTGTCCTCTCATCCATAGAAATGTACTTGCACTTCAGTGTTGAGGGTTCTGGCTGAGTGTGACTAGTGTTTGACTGGTTGGATTTTTACTGTATCAGAGGGCAGTGCTTAAAGGTGTATGGCCAGGTGATGAGTGACAACATGCTGTACTTAGGTGTCTGCCCATTAGCTACTGGGTCTCCAGGGGTTGTCTGGAGGGGGCAAAGGTCACCCACTGCCGGAAGGAACCTTTGACTTGAATTACACAGTAACCCTCCAACATGTGGCTCCCATTTGGTAAGTGCTGCTGAATGAATGGGTAGGCAGGAAGGGGGTGGTCGGAGAAGGATATATTTGACCATGGTGCGTGGGAAATGTGGTCTCCTAGGCACTTCTCAACTCAATAAGAAGTGTGATGAGAGCAAAGAGTTTTGATTTACTCCATGGTTATTGATATTTTTTTAGCCAGAACTTGACTGAACACACACCCACAAAAAAGAAAACATTAGCAAATAATCTTCAGTTAATGATGCCACCTCCTTTTGTGTAAATTAAATATTTCTTTCATAAGGACATCATAAACATCATAGAGTCAGAGGGAGTTTCCTATCATCTCTGATTATTGTTAAGTGTGTTACATGCACAATGCCCATGGCCAACAGTGCCAAGACCCTGATATGTGACCTGTGAACAGTCATGATCTATTATGTTTTACCAAGGATGCTATTCATGGAGAATATATTAGCCCTGTGATTGAAAAGCAACCTGGACAAGAATCAGTCTCTTGTCAACGAGAGCAGGAATACACCATGATGTAGTATATATTTACACAACCATAAAACATTTACCCTGACCTGAGACTGTCCTCACCATTACTTCTCAGAAATCAGAAGGAATGGATGTGTTCTTGGCAAAATTGTGGAAAGCCAGATTTTTCAAAATTTCTCAATAGGTAAGAACTGAGAACAGAGAGCTTAATTTACAAGGTTGTCACAGTAATGTCAATCAGGCTTTAAAAACATCTAATAACAATCTCATACTGGCAACTGTAACTACTAACATGCTTCATCTGTGAAACATAAAAGAGAGGAAGGGTCAGGTCAGACCAGGATTTATATCAGATAAAGCTTGGCAATGAAATTGATTAATTTCAGTAGAAAGGCTGCAAACAGTGGACTCACTCGTGAAGGTGAAGTGACTTTGCTTTTCTAGTAACAATCAGTGCGTCGCGCAAAGACTCAGGCAGGACTGAGAGAGACTTAGGGGTTGGACTGAAATGAGGAGGGTATGAAATTTGCACTGTTCATTAAATTGCTGGGGGTTAAGAACCTTTTCACTGCTCATGTTCAGTACATTAGGGAATTTGGGTCTGAGTTGATGTGTGTTGAGTGTTGCTTGAATATTATTTTGTGTGTTCAGCCTGTGTATACATAGGTAATGAGGGTTTACCATATCCTCTGTAGGGTTTTGCTGGTTTTCCTAATCTTTTGTCGGTCTAAGACTCACCCAACTTCCCCAGAAAACCACTACAACCTTGACACCAGAATTAGTGCTGTTGAGCAAACTGCAAACTGTCTTGACCATGTTGACCTTTCAGAGGACACTACCATATTACTATTAATTGTGTTGATATACTTTTATACAACCAAGCTTTGTATGTATCAGAGTATATATATTACTGCAAAAAGAACTTCTTTTGGCATCCTTTGTCCAGTTGTTACATACAGTCTAAAGTGCTCTGTATATCCTTTACAGCTCTCCTGCTAATTTCATAAATCTTTTTTGTTACAAGACACAAAATTTTAGAAAAGGGATAAGTTTACATCTGAAACATTCTGTAGTTAAACCATCAGTTTTTTGTTTTCTTTTTGTTCGCCTTTTAATAAGCTGAGCTTATTGCAAATTAATTTCAGGAGAAAATGACTTTCATTTATACAATTTTTTGTATTTTTTGGTGACTTAAAACCTTAAGTATCCAGCCTTACCAAAGTTATGGCACAGTAACTGTATGTCAAGCAAGAAATAATAGACATATAAGACATATGAGACATGTGGAATGTGACGATGAGTTGGAGCCTGGATCCTGTGGAGATGGAAGTGTATGAAAATGGAAAATCAGTTTTGTTCTCTGACCTCATGTACCTTAAAATGTCCTTTTGTAGGAACTATCCCTCAAATTTTCCAGGGAGTGATAATTGACAGAGGAGAATTTAGAAGTGTCACTGTACAAACTCATAGGGCTCTATGTTAATGTTCATGCTCTAAAGTGCATGGAGCACTTAAGGTGTGTCGAAATCCACTTTTGCTAGTTGCAGCGTAAAAAGTGGCCGCAGTGGTTCAAAAGGGTACAAGTCCCATAATCATGGGTGTGTTTTGGGCGCCAAATGCAATAAACCAATCATAGTACCATTGCCCATTTCCTTTAAAAGCCAGATAAACCCGCAATTCAGTGTGTTGTGCACCCACCTATGTAGGTGCATTTTACTCTCTAGACAATGCCCCCTTAAAATAACAGTGAAATACTGAAACAATGACTTCAGATCAGGTTTCTGTTGGTCAATCACTTTCCTCTGTCACATTGTTGCATCTCGCCAACAATACACCTGGCCACAACTTATTTTATCAACATGCCCCCGGTTGCTCAGATGTGCGTAGAAATCCATTTGTTATTTAAACAACATGGGTGCTGGACGGGAAAATGACTACGCTGGTCTGAAATTATCAAAGAAACTTGTGTTGTGCCTGGCACCACTTTGTGCCAGGTATAAGATAGAACCCATAGTATCTGGATGCTTGAAGCAATGTTCTTCTTGTGCCTCTGAGGCAAAGGAGTCAGGAGGTTTTACAAATGCTTTAACCAAATGCTTGATTTCAACGATTTGCATGCATTCAAGCAAAGATGCGCTTATTCTGCGCAGATTTGCATGAGGCTGAAGCCTTTCTCAGCATTCAGTCAGCGAGATGCTGGGTACACCTTAGACCACTGGTTGTTCAAGCATAGTTTAGAACCATAAAATATACAAACATTTGGTTCATGACATAAAAAAGAGCCATGATACAGACTACCACTGTAGTCTGACTCCCAGTTCCCAGTATGATGCCAGGCATTATAATGACATCATACTGGGAGCTGGGAGTCATAAAGGGAACTTTCTAGTTCATTTACTTCACACTAAAATACAAAATTAACCATAGTCACTTTACCACATGAAGGTCACTCACAGCACTGGTCTACTTACTGGAGGTCCTGCAAGACAAGAGAAAGAGAAAAAGAGTGACACATTAACATTAATAGCTTATGACAGCATACTTTATGCACAGACAGTCTGAATACCTCAAATGTTCATTATGTGCCTGCAATGCAATAGCATTGAAGGCATATGTTATTATTCTGCATACTTATTAGTGTGAATGCAGAGGCATTACTCTTATATATATATAATATATATATATATATTTTTTTTTTTTCTTATTTCTTCTGCGCTTCCATGATCTCTAACTACTCCTTCATACTTTTCCGTACAGAAACCATTCAACTTTTAAAACGTTCAGCTTGTTCTGAAGCTTATTGGATGTATAACAACTTTTTTCTGCTATTTATAATTTCCAAAATATTAGGCTATTTCTGCAATTTTTTGCCATTCAAATGAATGGAGAGACTGTTTAAATCCTTGAAAACTTAAGCCTCTTTGATTTTCAACTACTTCAGCATACTTTCAGCTACAGACTTCTTTTTCTCTCTAAAATGTTTACAAGACTTTCAGCTATTAAACTATTTAACTTTTTGCAGATCACTTTTGAGTTTATAATGGGTGTGTATTGCACAGAATGTTCAGGGCTAGAGTGGATCACATCATCGCTAGAGTGGGAGAAGCTGTAAAATTTGTCTGAAAAAAATCTGTGTAACTCGTCCTTACGGCCACATATTTCGATTTTGGCACATAATTTCTTCCTAATTTGTCCTATTTCATACAAAGTGTCTACCTTAGCACAGAGGCTAACAGAATTTGAAATGTGACCCTCCAAGTGATAAAAGCACCCTTCAACTCTCCCACTGACTGCAATACAAATTCAGGAGCAGACTTCAGGAGAAAACCAGAACTGACCCTCTTTGTAACTCACTCCTGTTTTCACATTTTTGGATCTAGAAACACAAAAAAACCACATAGAGGTGTTCAAGAGAGTCTTGCGGCGCTGACCATGTGATCATTTTTCTGATATAATGTACCATTTTGTATTAAATGGCAGGAGTTTGAGAGGTTGGCTGACCCCTTTCTCCCATAGATTTATATGAGCTCTGTGTCTTCAACAGCGAGACTCTCTCTCTTACACACACACACACACACACACACACACACACACACACACACACACACAAACGGACACATAGAAAGGTAGACAGGTAGACAGACAGACGGGCAGAAAGACAGGTAGATAGACACAGTTTCATTCAGGAAACAATTGGCTGTTAATTTAAGTTTGAAATCTTTGGAGTGTATTCTGTTAGGTGATTACCTTTAATGTGTGTTTTCCAGGTGCTACTTTTTTCAGAGAGAAAAGCAGGTGGGCAGCCAGACAGACAGAGAGCATTGTCAGCATGGCAACCTCTAAGTTGAGGGAGGGGGCACACATCTGGTTCAAATTAACTGATTAGAGGCTCCTCTGATATCTGTGGTGTTTACTGACATTTCTGTCAAAGTCCAGTACAGACTGCTCCAACACTAAATACAGACAATGATTTACACACCTTTCACTAGAAATATGTTTCACTCCAGGTTTAATCAGGAAGCATTCGGCAGTTAATTTCAGTTTGTCATTCTAACTGACACAGAAACACACATGAATACTGACAAGCAGAGAGGCACACAAGCTGATAAACAAGCAGACAGACACAGAATTGTAAACAAGTAGAAAGACAGAAAGGCAGATAGATAGACAAACACATAAACAGACACACACACACACACACACATACACACACACACACACACACACACACACAGACAGCTGTTTATAAGTTAGTACTCATAGAGGGAGATAACAGTTCAGACTGGACAGAACAACTGGAAATACAGCAGCAGACATATTGAATTTAACATGCTCAACTTGTGTTATACTCCTGATCCTCCTTTTATTATCCGTCATTTGTTAACTACTATTGCATACTTTGTGCTACATAAACCGTTCCGTTATCAAAACATTCAGCTTCTTCAGGAGATGCATCTTTTCTTTCAACTTTTTGATAATATTCATAATTTTTTTGCTTTTTCTGCAATATTTTACAATGTAAGTGAATGGAGACAATGTTGAAATCCTTCAAAACTTCAACGCCTTTGAAATTTAACTACTTGAGCATACTTTCAGCTACAGATATTATTCAAACTTTAAACTGTTCACAACACTTCCAGCTATTAAGCGATTATTCAGCTTATTGATAAATTAAATTAAAGTTTCTACTGTTGAGATACAGGTCATCTTTCTGTTACTAATGCAAATGATTACTTCTTCACATTTTTAAGGCATTTTATTCCTACTTCCACCTATGGCGGTAAATAATTTGGCTTTCAAGGGTTTCAACAACATGTTTCAGTTCTCATCGTTTGCAGCTAATGGACTTCAGCTCTTCCAGTTTAACATTTTGGCATCTAATTTTTCAAAGCACTGTACATCAGTTAATATGAGCAGCTTTATCAACTATTTTAGCTTTGTGTAAATAATCTTCTTCAGGTGTTTAATTACAAGTTTTGATAGTACATTTCTTATTTCTCAGTTTTTTTGCAGCCAATTTAGGCCATCTTTTTCTGTTTTTACATTTTATATATTTTCTCCAATTTTGTGCTGTTTGTCACACCTTCCATCAAGAACTTCAGGCCTTTTTCAACCATTTCAGGACATTCAACCTCCAGCTTGCAGGTTCTACTTTTAATTGTCAGCTATACTTTCAGCTACTTCAACATTGCTTCAGCTTTTGCTTTAGCTTCTTCAGCATTGCTTCAGAAATCTCATTCAGCTCTCAGCATTCACACGCATTTTCAGCAGGAAATGCATTTTCTATTTATTATTCTTATACTTCATGCCTTTTTACGATCTCTAACTACTCCTTCATATTTTGTTCTACAGAAACCATTCAACTATCAAAACGTTTGGCTTTTTCTGTAGATTATCAGATGTATTCAATTTTTTGACATTATTTATAATTTTTGAAATATTAAGCTTTTTACGATTTTTTTTACCATTCAAATGAATGGAGATCATGTTCAAATCCTTGAAATCTTCAGCCTCTTTAAACTTTAACTACTTCCGCATACTTTCAGCTACATACTTCATTAAACATTTAAACTGTAGACAAGCCTTTCAGCTATTAAGCTTGTATTCAAATTTTTTTGAGTGATCACAGCTTTAGTTTGAACCTCATTTTTGAGTTTATAATGGGTGTGTATTGCACAGAATGTTTGAGTCTAGAGTGGATGACATCATCGCTAGAGTGGGAGAAGCTCTAGAAAGCCTCTGAAAAAATTCTGTTTAACTCGTCCTCACGGCCACATATTTCAATCTACACACATCACAGCTTCCTTGATAGTAGAAAAATTAGTCCTGTTTCATACAATATGTGGGAGTACCCACCACCTCTCCATTTGACTGCAATACAAATTCAGGAGCTGATTTCCCCAGAAATGCAAAAGTGACATTTTTCTGTAACTCGCCCCTGTGTCCATATTTTTGGCTCTAGAAACACCAAAGCCACATATGCAGTGCATGAAGTTCTTGTGCCAGGCATGATCTGCTCATGGTTCTGATAGGAGTTACCGTTTTTTCACAAGTAGCAGTTGTTTGAGAGTCTCACCGAGCCAAAATCTCACCCAGATCTGTGTCAGCTCTGTCTTCCAGCTACACACAGGTGTTGGAACCAGCTCATTAAGAGACTCTTTGATCTCTGTGATGTTCACAAACACAGCCACACAGACATACATACATACACACACAAACACACACAAACACACACAGGCAAGTTCTACAAACGCAGTATCCATGCAGAAATGAATACAGCTGATTCTTATTGGCTAATTATACTCATTAAATCTTACCCTCATTACTCTCAAGTATAAGAGCCTGTATGTGTTTGTTTTCATGTCACATGTTCATCTGAGCTCTGTGTCTTCCAGCTGCACACAGTTGATGCTTGTTAACAGACTGATTGATGTCTATGAGGGTTGCAAACACAGCCACACAGATAAACACAAACACACACACACGCACACACACACACACACACACACACACACACACACACACACACACACACACACACACACACACACACACACACACACACATAAGGCTGTTTACAAATTAGGGCTCATAGAGAGAGATTACAGTTCAGACTGGACAGTACAACAGTAAATACAGCAGGAGACATTGAATTTACTTTGTGCTTTGAGCTACAGGAACTGTTCAACCATCATTGTAGCTCTCCCATAGACTGCAATACACATACACATACACACACACTAACACCACCACCCCCACCCTTCACCACCACCACCCCATTTTTATCACTGAAGGTAGGCTAAATAACAGAAACACCTCTGTATAATATAATATACACTACATCCTCCACTGTGATCAATTGAATCAACAACTGTCTAAAACTATTTTAATAATAAATTGCCAACTAAGTATATGAGTAATTATCTGGTGTATGCTCAGGTTCCAAAGTGCCTAACTACAATGAATTGGTTGATTTCATTGCATTTCTCACCTGGGAACTGATATATCTGGTAACCTAAAGATATAATATAACATATTATTATTATCACCCGATAACATGTTTTACCCCTCTTCCCATTTTCACATGTATTAACACATTTACATTTTAACTGACTTACTTTGTTCTTTTATTTGAGAACATTTTTACGCAGTAATTTACTGATTTCTTTTCACTAATAGTAATGACGCTGTTCACATGTTGACGTGCTGACATGCTGATGTCAGTTTGATGTCCCATCTACAGTCAGTTTCTGTTACTGGTAGAGTTTGTGGCTGCTCTGTCTGAACACAGCTAATGCTGCTGTTTTCTTAATCACAGTTTCTAACTACCTGCTGTACATTCAAACTTACAGTAGTTCTGCTCCAGCACTTAGGAGTTCCCTGCTCCTTTAAGCGACTTTCACTGACTCAGCTGTTGTTTACATGCTGTTCAGATCTGCTAGTTACTTTAGGCAGTTAGCACTAGCTTCTCTCTCTCTC